AGACTCAGGCGTAAAAACGTATCCGCATCAAAGAATTCATAATCAAATGCAGGCTAGATTGAAGAAATATTTACATTCACGTGTACAAACAATAAATTATCTACTCGTGATAATGTATGAATTATTTTTTAAATAAAAAAAATGTTTGTATCTTTAATTTGATACGAATACAAGTCACATTACATAAACTTGATATTGCATTGCAATACTTTAAGACTGTTATTATTTAATAATGTATAAGGTTAGCTATTGTTTAGAATTTTCTTCTTTCGTAAGTGATTTAAATTACTCGCTAATATAATTGAATAAATGCTCGGGCCGCGTAAATGAATAACGAACGTTTGCAATTTATCAACTAAAATAGTACATTGAGCAGCGTGTACTGGGCTTAGAACATGTAAAAGGCTCTTCAAAGGCTCGGGAAGGCAGCATTTCTTGTACTTTTGTAAATCCTCTCAAAGTCTAAGACAAAATATATCTTAGGAGAGTCTTCTATTCGCGTATAAAGCTTTTTATACGTCAGCACCCACTTCTGCTTGAATAATTGAATTCCCGTGATCTAAGCTTCTACGCGATTCCGGATAAAACATGATGAAAATTTACATTAATAAAAATTTCTCGAATTATATCTCAAATTATTCTGGCATATTTGTCTCGCACTATTATTATTATTATTGTTGTTGTTGTTGTCGTCGTTGTTGTCGTCGTTGTCGTTGTTGTTGTTGTTGTTGTTGTTGTTGTTGTCGTTGTTGTTGTTGTTGTCGTTGTCATTGCACAGTCATTGGAATTTTAAAATTGGTAAAAATTAATGCTAACTTTAGATTTTGGGGGAAATGCGGCCGATATAATACTCGAATAAAACGCTAGGATCTTCAGTCTTCGTTGACCACCATTGCGCCTGATATCACTTCACAACATCCAGATAAATTCGTTTTTATCATAAAACTATCCTCTATTTTATAAAACGGATAGATAAACAAACATACGATTATGATTGAATGGAAAAGTCCAAGCTATAAAGTGCAAGCACACGCGATTCAGGCACAGCGAATCTAATGCGCCTCCTCCACCTCCTCCTCCTCCCTCCCACTGGGCCCCTTCCCAAACCCCTACCCCACCCCCACCGGCCAACCGTATTTCCGAGTTACAGTTAAATTAAACCGCTCATCATTAGTTTATTGCCCCTTACTTTCCCTGTGACTCATATTATAATACGCACGATTCGCCAAAACCAGTTTACGAATACACTACCCTCCGCGCATTTACCGCGGCTCGCCAGAATCGCGTATTCTTCTTCCTTACAATTGCGATAAGGCAGCGCAAAGCGGTCGCCGCCGCTCGCGTAAATCAAATCATCAATAGGGGGAGGACGGGGGGAGGTGCACGAGTGGATGCGTACCGGAACAGTTCCTGAACTTCTTGGATCAGGGGGTGACAGCGATCGTGTTAATGGGACGGCCGGCCTGCGATTCCGAAAGTAAGTAAAGTAAGTACACTCGCGTTACGCTTATGGGAGTAACCGTCGGTCGAATCCGAGTCCGAGTGCGTGTCACCGGAGCCACGGGGACCCGGCGCCGGACGCTCATTCACTGACCGCGCCAAAGTTCCCGATACCGTCGCGCCACGGGGAGAGTCGCGATATATTCCAGTCCAGCTGTTCGATGGAGGCGGGCGGGGCAGGGAGCGGGGAGTGCACCGGTGCATACATCGAGGGATCACGTGCCCCGCGCGATCTTCCTTCCCGTGGTGGTGTAAAACACTTTTTCGTAAATTACCCTATACATAACCTAGTAGGGCCACTGCCGTTGCCGCCAATGCACTCACCGATAAAATCCTCCCAGCTGATGGAACAGTCCGAGTCTAGGGCGGCTTCGCTGGTCATCCCGTCTGGCTGAGACGACGGTGGCGGTGGCGACGGCGGCGCGCCTCGCCAGCCGCGCTCCTCATCTCTCATGCTCCCTCATGGCTCTCGACGCCCTCGTCTGCCTGCCTACCTCGCTCTACCCCAAACCCAGCCACCCTACCGCCCTGTCTATTTTCTCTGTCTCTCTCTCTCTCTCTCTCTCTCTCCGATGACCGAGACGGCCCGCGGGCCTACATCTCTCGCTCCCGCAGACTCCGTTGCCGTAACTATACTCTCCTGGCACCGCTCGGTCCCTATTCCCGTACACCCGATTTCCTGACTCGACTGCACGGATGCGCGCACGCGCACACGAACCAACGCGATTCGAGCTCGCGTAGAGTCGGCCGACGACTGAACAGCCCGGGACTTGGGAACCGCGAACTCACGTCCCCCACGTCTGCCGCCATCGAGCATCGCGGACTGCAGCCACGACCCCCACCGCCCTAGTGCGACCACCGTCGGTAAATGCAACTTGCTACCGTCTCTCTCCTCTCGGTCCCGTCACCCCCCCCCCCCCCCCCCCAACGTCTCGGCGCTT